GACATTCTCTTGGCAGCCTCTCCAAAGTCCGGTACAACATGGATGAAGGCCCTAATGTTTGCTATCGTAAATCGAAAGTGCTACCCTCATCTTCCATCATCATCATTGGCATCCCATCCGTTGCTCACAAAAAGTCCACACAATTGTGTACCATACCTAGAGGTTCGTGATGAAGAGCACATGATTGGAGGCAATCCAATTGCCTACCTAGACTCTCTTCCACCATCATCACCTAGATTGCTTTCAACCCACATTCCATACACATCGTTACCAAAATCCATTTTGAGTGATTCGGGTGGTCGAATTGTGTATATTGCTAGGAACCCAAAAGATGTTTTTGTTTCTTACTGGAGCTTCTGCCAGAAATTTAAATCCAAAACTGACCAATCAAAAGGGCAACCACTAGCAGCAATTTCCATGGAAGAGGCATTTGAATTGTTCTGCAAAGGGGTTTCAATTACAGGCCCCTTTTGGGATCATGTTCTCGACTACTGGAAAGCGAGCTTGGAACGCCCTGATCAGGTAGTGTTTATGAAGTACGAGGATATGAAAATGGACATAATGCAGCATGTGAAGAGGTTGGCTGAGTTCGTGGGGCATCCTTTTTCGTTAGAGGAAGAGAGGCAAGGCGTTGTGCAAGAAATTATAAACTTGTGCAGTTTTCAGAATTTGAGTAATTTGGAGGTGAACAAAAGTGGGGCATATCATGTCCATATCGCGTCCCAAACGGGGCAAACACCTTTGCTGGTGAACAACAGTGCCTTCTTCAGACGAGGAGAGGTTGGAGACTCCAAGAACCATCTAACGGTTGAGATGCTTGAGCATCTTGACAAGATCACAGAGGAAAAGTTGGGTTCTTTTGGTTTGAAACTTTAGATGAATCAAAGCTTTAATTAAGCTCTCGCTTAATTGTTTAATATTTCTACAATAAAAGACATCGATTTGTTTATGCTTTTGATTGTATGGTATGGATGGACTACAACCTTATTTGATGAAAAAAAAACAAAACAAAACAAAATTAACATGCATGTAAAGGGCATCTATTAAGAAAATCACTTCAAGCTAAACTGGCCTAGGAAATAATCAGAAGGATTTGAAATAATATATGGCATTTACCTTTCATTTCTTCAAGAATCTGTTTACTACTAGCAACCACAATTATGTGTGAAATTAAATTCAGCCACTTTGCAGACTGAAGGAAACAATTCATCAAAAGTTGCATACCCTCGCACTCTCACAAAACTCTAGATGTTCATTTATTTAGAGGATATTCCTATATATAATCAGTTTCAACACACATTTGATGTAACAGTTAGAATGGATAATGTGTTTGCTTGTTTCTCTATAAGCGTAAAGGTTGCTATTAATGAATGTAGATACAGATTCAATCACATCAATTGTTAACGTGCATTAATTATACCTGATATCACCATCCATGGGAGCATGCTTCACTTCATAATCTGAGGACAACATAGAACTAATCACCAGTCAAAGCCCGAGGTCTGTGCTCAGTGGTAAACAAGTACATCCCAGTTTGTGAAATTGCTCTCACAAATGCCATATTTGCCGTTACAGTTGGAGCACACCAGTAATCACCAGTACCAAAAACAACCTTATTCTTCAAAGCCAGTTTTCTAGTGGTTGGAAGGTTCATCATAGATACATAAGGGAGCAAAAATCATCAAACAGATCAAACAAAATGTCAATGAAACTTGAATTTTTTCAGACAGGCTTAACCCTGTTTGGACTTAATGCAGATTGCATACTAGGGTTGGTTGGTTCTCACAAATGTCTACTGTGCTTGTTTCCCTATTTCTACAATTTTTTTCGTTTCCTACGTATATAGAAGAAGAAGAAAAAAACCCTACGCGACTTCGGATATGCTTAATGTCCTACACTGAAGGCAACAGAATCTTCATACTTTACCAACCTTGGAAGCAAATATCCCCTCATGTTGAAACCATTTCTTCCAATCCATAGCATTACGAAAAATCGGCCTAGGCGGCATGGGAGGCCTGGGCGGGTCTGGGCTGTGCTAGGCGGGTCTAGGCGGCGCTAGGCGGTTCTGGGTGCCAGGGTGGGTCTGGTTCTTTTCTTTTGTTCTTTAAGCCCACTGCCTAGCCATTTTTCAAACTTATGCACTGCAGGGCTGGTCTGGGCGGCCCTGGGAGGATCTGGGCGGCGCTGGGAGGGTCTGGGCAGCGCTAGGCGGCTCTAGGCGGCTCTAGGCGGCGCTAGGCGGATCTGGGTGCCAGGGTGGGTCTGGTTCTATAAGGTTTAGGGTCTGCGTGCCCGGGTGGGTCTGATTCGTATGGGGAGATGATCCTGACCTGGAACTGACAGAACCTCCACCAGATGTTGGTAATATCTTGGTTCTCTCGTGTAGAGCAGCAACATGTACTATTTCCCTTGCAGTGGAGTGTCCGGTAAAAGACAGGCTATCCCTGATCAGGTAGTGTTTATGAAGTACGAGGATATGAAATGCAGCATGTGAAGAGGTTGGCTGAGTTCGTGGGGCATCCTTTTTCGTTAGAGGAAGAGAGGCAAGGCGTTGTGCAAGAAACGTTGTGCAAGAAATTATAAACTTGTGCAGTTCTCAGAATTCGAGTAATTTGGAGGTGAACAAAAGTGGGGCATATCATGTCCATATCGCGTCCCAAACGGGGCAAACACCTTTGCTGGTGCACAACAGTGCCTTCTTCAGACGAGGAGAGGTCGGAGACTCCAAGAACCATCTGACGGTTGAGATGCTTGAGCAGATCTTGACAAAATCACAGAGGAAAAGTTGGGTTCTTTTGGTTTGAAACTTTAGATGAATCAAAGCTTTAATTAAGCTCTCGCTTAATTGTTTAATATTTCTACAATAAAAGACATCGATTTGTTTAATTTGATGAATTAAATTACAAGTTACATGCATGAAGACAAGAGGCACAAAAGAAAAGACCGTAATTACTCGGCAGCGGGACCAAATGTCAATCCAGAAGCATTGAACTTATCATCTGTGATCTGATCTAGACGTCTTGCCATCTCATCTGTGAAATAATTTTTCCAGTCCCCAACTTGACCTTTCCTAAAGAAGTAACTGTTCTTAACAACAAGCTGGCTACTAAACCATTGCACCTCGGTTTTATTCACCTCCAGATGACTCAACTTCTCAAAACTACAGAGCTTTATTATTTCCTGCACAACCCCCTTTCTCTCTTCCTCTAATGAAAATGGCTGGCCCAAAAATTCAGCCAATCTCTTCAAATGAACAAAGGGGTCCTTCAAATCCTCATATTTCAAGAATAATATTTTGTCATGAAACTCTAAGCTTGCTTTCCAATATCCCAGCACATGGTCCCAGAAGGGCCCATAGTGTGAAACCCCTTGGCAAAACAGGTCATATGCTTCTTGTAGTGAGAGGGGTGCAAGTTGCTTAGGCCTCAATTTGTTCATGAAAATCCATTTGGAAACCAGAACATCTTTTGGGTTTCTGCAAACGTACACACATCTGCAGCCAGAAGAAGAAGCAGTCACTGATTTGGGCAACAAAGCGTAAGGCATGTGGGTTGAAAAGAGCGCAGGTGATGCATCATGGGATGGGATAATATTGGACGGCTGTTGAGATGGGAAATTGAGTCAGTTTGGTGTATGTATGCATCCAGGAAAGGAAAACAGTCGTGGGGCCCAGTGGTGAGCAATGGGTGCTGATAAGAGGACATGTCGTAGAGGGCTCTGTTCATGGTTGCAAACATGAGTGCTCTGAGCCGTGTTGTACCAGATTTTTGAAAGGTGGCCAATAATATATCGGATGGTCGAGCATGAAAATGGTGCTGGAGCAGCAGGGCGCCTTTGAAGGCGCAGGCAGGGGAAAGCCAGAAGCCTTGGTATTGGACCAGATGTTGAGTCATCCAGCCTCTCTCTTTTAGAAGGCTTAGCACCAATTCTCAATATTTTGCAATGGTTTCTTGGTAGGCTTCTTCGTTGTCTTGTTTCTCATTATTAAGACTGGTTTCTTGGCATGGCTTAGAAGGTAGGGAGGCTCCTCCTTCAGACATGGAGCTATAATGCAAATGCAGGGGAGTGATGAAAATGTTCTAATTGCATGGAAATACAGAGGTCTTTGAAACCTTATAAATATATATATGTAGGTAGGAGATGATTCATCATGCACTGCCATTGCCAGCTAAATTACGTAGAATGAGGGCCATTTTTTTCAATTGCCAGCCAAGAGAATCTCTTGAATATCTTTTGAGCTAATTGAGCACCAATCTGCGTATTCGAATTCAAATATTTGGTGGCAACTTCTGCTCCGGAAAAGACTCCAAATAATGATTAATTAACCACAATGTTGATTGACATTTTCATACATTTTCTCAGCGAGGAGAAAAACTTAGTTGCAATGGAGATAATACTTTTTTGCTATTTCCGGCCAATAGTGTTATGCAACGTGGAAGAGTTATCATGCGAGTCATGCATGTTATGGAAGTCTTTCCCCTTAGCGAGGGAGGGCTCAAACAAATCCAGGAATTTAAACCCGAATCCCACAGCAGGCCTTCCAACAAAACTTTGCAAATCAAATTAATAAATAAACGTTATCCACAAAAAGAAACTGCCCTCTAATAATAATTATAATTATTCAGTGAAAAATGGGTAACAAGTAAAATGACAACCAGATGTTACGGTTTATGTCTAGGATATCTGAGAACAAAATGGTTCATAAGTTGCATAATAACTTAAATGAGGCTGACATATTATTACAGTACTTGCTAAAGAACAAATAATTCTACACCTTGCAGAAGGGGAAGAAGAAAACCCCATCAGGCAAAAATCAATCTACCTCTCACAAATGTTCACCTAGTACATTTAAACTTTCTAATGTATAAAAACAATGCCTTTCTTTTCTTTAAGAAAACTGTGATGGAAAAGGAAAAAGAAAACTGCCTAATAAAGTCAAAATTTTATACTTCTGACTCTACATTAATGCGATCCCATTTGCAGGTTTAGAGTTATAAAAATATCGAAGATCGCATGAATTACTAGCAATCAAGAAGTAGCACATTCTAACTTGTGACACAATCCCGGAGATATGGGTGGCTTTGATTTACATATCGCTCCCAAAGAGGCTTATACCTTTCAATGGCCAACTTCAGCCATGGCTTCATGAATCCATTAAAGTGAACAACCGCCGCGCTCTCAATCAATCGGTTGTCAATATTCAGATCATACCCCAGTCCTAATACATGCCATCTCCTATCAAGCGGCTCTGTCAGACCATAAAAAGTTAGAAGGCCAGGCGGAAGAGTGCCCACCCTCCAAAGCGTCCCATCAGCATTCTGCTCCTGCCAGTAATGATAACGTGCAGTTACGTCCGCTTTCTTCCAAGCAATTAGATCAAAAACATTCATACCAAAGGCCCATCCACATGCCTGTGGATCAAATTTCGAGCTGATGATTGTGTTTGAGAAATTGAGATACTTATAATAACGATGAAATGCTTCAAGACAAGTTTCCACTGCTCCGTTCACATTTCCATGCAAATCCAATGAGAAAAGTGGGGTCAGATCCTTCTGGACAACAACATCATCATCAAGAAAAACTACCTTCTCCAGCTGCGGATAGATCTCTGGGATGTAAAATCGAAGGTGATTGAGCAAAGATTGATACTTAGGGCTCCGCAACTTTGGTGCAACATTATCTTTATATCCTCCAATATAGTAGGCTCGGGAATCTGCATTGAGGAGCTGCTTCACGATCGGAGCATAAGAGGCATTAAACCAAGAAAATTCCTCAACATTATGCACTTCTATTGTGGACCCTTTGAAATCATTACTGAGGAACCAAGCCTGCATAGTGCCATAGTTGATCCCATTCGTGACAACGTGGAAGACCAGCTGTTTTGGATGGTCAGCATTGGAGACAGTAGAGTTGACAACCACAGAGGTGGCCAACACATTGTCCGAAAATATGCAGAAATGGTAGAGATTGTTGTCCATGAGTCTGGGAGAGTTCCTCTTCTCATCTGCAAGTTCTTGCAGAGATGGCTTTCTAAGCCAATCAGCTGTGAGTTTAACATTTAGGCAATGGAGGCTTTTGGGTAATGCTTCAGCAGCTAGTTGCCCAAATACTGTGCTTTGAACTGTGGCTGCATTTGCACGCTCTTCGAGGGCTTGGATATGAGATTTCATTGTCATTATTGTGGTTGCAATGTCATAATGTGCATCTTCTGCCCTAAATATAAGATATGAAAGGCTTTTAATTATTGGCTCTGCTTCCTCTAAGGTGACTGGCTCCCCCCTCATGGCAGCTTTTGATAGCAAAAGCTGGCAATTTCTAATCTTTGAACTAAGCTCCCAAGCAAGATGAAGGTTATTGTGCTCTTTGGCAATAATAACATAAGCTTTGGCAAGTGTCATTTGCTCAGCCAGCTGCCTGGAAAACGATCTAGCACTCAATATTTCTTCCGTAAAATTTAAACTCTCGTGAGCAACCTGGTCAAGTCCCGTATTTCTTTCCTGGAAAAGGGAGATCACAGCCAAGTAAGAAATTGAACAATTTATTTGAAAGATGACAAGCCATATCACAAAGGAATAACCGCGGTAACAATTTATTACAATTAATAATTACAAACAACCACCAATGTATATTACAATGTATGTCTTCTAGATTTTTGAATAAGTAATTGACATTCACTTTTCACTGTTCTCCGTCAGATGTATATGACAATTGTACAAAGAGATGCAACCAATGTCAACTGGAATTCTATTCCTGCAACAAGCTATATTTGGGCAGGAACTTAAAACTTAGGAAAACTTTAGATATCTACGCAGAGTAACACACGGGAAAACTTTTCCAATGAGATTCAAAAGATCTTACAAAAGCAACTATACGTGAAAACACATAAATGACAATACTGTGAACAAAAATATGTTTTGGATATGATAACACCAAGCCAAAGAAGAAAAATATACATCTGGGTTACTGTTCTCAAAATGGCGGTGAACAAAGTATGTGCTTGCATATTTGCTTTATTCACCCCATCCTAAGACTAAAATTCTGTAATGTATTAATATAGGGACAAGGCAAGCACAAAGGATTGACAGATTAAAAAGACAAATCTATCAACCAATGACAAGAACAGTTAGCTAATCCCAACTATCAACTAGTAAAAGTACAGTTCAACACACTGAACAAGTGAGAATGGAAGCTCTAATGAACTCCAAGCTTTGCAAGTTCATTGTCTGCCTGTCACATGTGATCTCTAGCTAGATAATGGAACTGCTAATTACAAATATAATCCATACTTGCAATAAAAAACATGGTATTAAGAGTAACAGCCATAAATCAATAAGACCGTATCGTAACAAAGCCTACTTAAGGACCTCAATGGAATGATAACTCAGTCAGTTAACCAACTAGAGATTCATCGAAAATATCAAAAACCACTTATACAAATGTCTAAACAAAACAATAAAAGCCCAATTGTGTATTTCCATACTTGATCAGAAATTTCACTGTCGAAAGCCTCAAATAAATGCTAACAACAGACTGCAAACACATCAAATTCCTATCCACCAATATCAAGTTAAAATGTTGAAGAAACATACAGGTCACCAATTCAAGGACAAACTGAATCAATAAACACATAGTAGCAGCATAGGGGAGCTAAGCAATCATACCAGTACAGGCTGTTCGACCCGATCTTCATGCTGATTATGGTGAACGACTAACAAAACCAGGCCTGCAATCGAGAAGAGTCCAAAAAGAGCCCAGATCCAATATGAAAACCTCCTTCGAACCGGGCGCCGATACTCGGCCGCCCGTCGCCGCATCTTTGCCTAATGTCCTCCACAATTCACCACCAAATCACGATTCGGCACCGACCCATGTCCCAGATTCGATCAATAAACCATCAAAACAGGGCCTTTAAGCACATCAGCTCGGTTTGGCTTACTTGGGCAGGCACCAATGTTTGCCTTGAATGCGAAAAAGCGATAAAAAACACAGCTTTGAATCAATATTTTCCTTTGTTTTGTCTCTTTGCCTCCCACTCGTTGGCGGGCAGCTCTGCATCAATCAGAGAAATGAAGAGAGGGCACAGTTTGTAAGCTCTTAAATGGGGAACGAGAAGATGGAACTGGAGAGAGCAAAGAGTGATCGAGTTTCGCGATCTGTTGTTGTACTGTGTGTGTGTGTGTTTCGGTAAGAGCGGAAGAAAGTATAGATTTTAACTAGAGATTGCAGATGGTGTTAGTGTCTTTGGGGAGGGAAAAAACAATCACAAAGTCACTAAGCTAAAGCTAAGGCCCCCTTCTTCACATGAGACCATGTGATTGATTGTATTCGTTGCCTAATATCCAAATAAGCAGATAGAAAAACAAACAATTATTTAGTTTCCATGTTTGCTGATATTACCAACCAACCACACATATTATTTATGCCATGAAAATCTACCATGTCACCAAATACATTTTCTCAATTAGTAGATGAAATGTATCACTGAAATATGTGTCTATGGCGTTTGGAGAAATCGTATCCCAAGTCAGCTGTTTTTTATTTTATTGAATCCTTGTGCTGTTTTGCTATCAATGTAAATTCTCAACTTTTTAAGGTGGAGTTTGCACATGTAGAAGGTATATAATTGGCACATTATTGGTAGGGTAGGGTGTCTGTCTGTGACAACCAGTTATTGCATCTCAAGTCTCTACCGTGTGGCCACCGACTAGCGAAGCGAGCCTTTAGTTAGCTAAGTAGATGGCAGACTCAAGTCACAAATATGTTTTATTTCTTTCTTATTAAGTGATATTGTAAAGCCCAGAGATAGATATTCGAACTCGAATACAAAAGAACCGGAACACTACCTTAACCATCTTAACCAACAAATGCTAGGACTTGAATTCGTTCTTCTAAATGTTAGGACTTGAACTCGTTGCTTTTAGAAGGTACGATGTTCTTTTGTTTTTTAGGACTTCGTTTTTCTCTCTTCAGCCTTCAAAAAACAAAAATGGAAGTTCATTTCCATCTGGTAATGTTTCGTTTTTCAGATTTAGTACATACTGAATCAAAAAGGCAATTGTTTTGGGAAAATGATTCTTTTAAGTGAAGTGGGGACACGCTATCTGCTGGTTTCCCATCCTCAAGACTAGAAATCACATGTGATATGATAGATACACTAGGGGGAAGAACTAACTAACAAGTGTGTTATCAGTGGGGTCTATAAAATCTGAGTAGTAAATTTATATATAAATTAACAGATAAAAAGAAGTTCTACAACAGCCTGTTTATCCCAACATTGAACAATGCAGCTTCCAATTATCGGAAAGTGATGCAGATGTTACTTTTCAAAATGACGTCAGGGGTATCTCGTCTCATAATCAGTGGTCGTTGTATTGTTGGAGTAGGGTGAAGCATCCAGCGAACGTTGTAGCTAATAACTTTGGAGATAGAGGTGCCGAGCCCGGACTCCATGTAGACCTCCCCTCAACTTTGAGAAAAACTTCCATTCTGGTTTTATTGGCCCCCTCTCTTCATCTCTCTCCTCATGTCACTTGTCAAAATAGAAGAGAGATAGAGAGTATGGGACAATGAACGGGGATAGAGAAATATTTATCCTCAAATTGACATCTTTGCCTCCGCCCTGTTATTAAAGAGGGGGAGGTGCCATCCTAAGGCATTGGCTTCAAAGTGCGCATGACATCTATTACAGAAATGACTGGAGAGAAGTTCACAGAGAATAGAATAAACATAAACAGCAGAAGCCAATAAGACTTGGCAAAACTACCTTTTTGGAAAGCTCATGGTAAATGGAACAGTACGAGCAGCAAGACCTCTTGAAACATTTTTCATGGTGGTAGCAGTAGGATTTCCCTTCAATACCTTCTTGCAGATTGCTTGGACTAAAGAACAAACGTAAATAATTTAATTCTTAAGTTGGTTAAACAGAGTTTCTGACCCTATCTGATTGCAGCCGCCCCGACCCCCTCTGTATCTGCAAATAAGAAATTAAACATTTTCGAACAAACTAGATATTAAATGTACCAAACCACCTACAATTTGACAGACTATGAGGTCCAGGATTGAATATCGAATGCAACTGGTCCTGTGCTTTCAAAATTGCTACGTTTTCCCATATCTTTAGACATGACCAAACTTAATGAAAGCAAAAGCCTATGTGGATCTAAACCTGCCAAAATCTCACTCTGCTATAAATAAGAGGAAAGATTTCAGGGTGTTCAATATGTATTTGACACACTATTTCAGTCATGGACGTATCCCTTGTATTGTAAGAAGAAACCAGTAAGAATAGAATGTCAGATATAAACTACTTGTAAAACATGGCACTTCCTCTGCCGTCTTCGTTATCTGGCAAACAAAGACAAAGACAAAGCTATTTGAGACGTGATCCAAAGAACACATCTAAAATCAGACACACTTCATCAGTTGGAAGATGTTAAGAGAGAGATGTTAGGACGAGGAAAAAGCTGATGAAGACAAGAGCTTGAATGAAGAGTCCCACCCTCCAATGGCCAGCAAATAGGGGAGAATTGGTATTAATAACAAATTTATTCAAACAATTAACTAAGATGAATGAAACTTGTTGCCATTTTTCTACAAAGTCCCTATCTTTTATTTGGGTATCTTTGTTTTCATAACATCTAACAATAATATATCACAAAGAAAGCAAACAGTTGAGTTCAAATTCAAATTCAAAACAAAAACATCATATTCATATGCAAAGCAAACAGCTTTTAAGTCCTAACCAGTTCCAATCGCCGTCGACATGTATCCGTAGAATGCGAATTCAGATGTGGACGAAAGCAGAGTGCTTGAAATCCCCAGCCAAAACCCGATAAAAAACCGATTTCGTTAAGAAAATGATTCAATTTCGGCTGAAGAAGCATGCCTTTCAACTTCGCCTTGCCAATAATGTTGCTAGTACCAGTGATGATGGTGAAGAAGGGGTTGCTTGCTTGCTGGGTCCTCCGCCATTGAAGTGAGTTGGGTGGCGAAGAACAGAAGAAGACCGCGCCATGTGACTGTGAAGTGTGTTTCTCAGTGTCCTCAACTGCAAAATTGGTAAATTATGTTCAAACAAAGACAAAATAGTTTGGGGTCAATTCGCGAACATGAAAAATAGATAATGCCGTTTCTACCCTATTACATTACAAAGAGAAATAAGGGCATTTACGATTTCATTTTCACTCTTCATAGCTCATCGCATCCTGGTTGTCCATCCGAAGATCTTGCAAATTTTTAGTTTTAGGCCGCGTTTGACAAAACTGTATTTTTGTTTAGTTTGGGTCCTCGGGTGCCAACAGGCATACCAAACACAACCTAATTTTTTAACTTTTTCATTTTTTGGTTTTTTTCCCACATCCAACGATCCAAAACTCGTCTCCGGAACCAGAGTCCCATTCGATCGATGATGTCATCGACGGCGAACTGCGGTTTCATTGAATTTGTTAATTTTAATTCTGAGAAAAAAGCCTGTGTCTTAATTCGGGTGGTGGGAGAGTGTGCCCCATTATCCGTCGCCGAGAAGTGACTTCCATCTCTCTACAAATTTAAGGTATGTTATCTTTTTTTTATTTGTAAACCCATTTCTCAATTTGCTGCATAATATTAATATTCACAACAGCTTTTGACAACCAAATTGATATGCTTTTAAATGGAATATGATTGGGGCATTGTTCTTTTATTGGGTTGCTAACTTGCTATATGCAAATCAGAAGATGAAACAGGGTATGTTTTGTATGTTCGTATGTAAATCAGCTTCTTGTATATTGACTTCCTCAGTTTACATCAGTATGCATTTGGGATTCTTAAAAGACTTCATTTTTCACCCATTTTACTCAGATACCTTGTTCTGGTTTTGCTTGGATTCTTCAGGGCCGAAGAGACCAAGAGAGAGAGATAGAGGTTGGCAATGACAAAAAAATCTGAGAAGTTTTCTGCAGATTTTGTGATGGGAGGAATGGCAGCATTGGTATCAAAGAGTGCAGCAGCACCCATTGAGAGAGTGAAGCTTCTGTTGCAGAATCAAGGAGAGATGATAAAAAGAGGACAGCTTAAGAGACCTTATATGGGTGTTGGTGATTGCTTTAAGAGGGTCTTTAGAGAAGAAGGCGTCTTGTCCTTTTGGAGAGGCAACCAGGCTAATGTTATTCGATATTTTCCTACTCAGGTACTTCATTTACTTTCGAGTCTCCCATTGAATTTGAAATCTTTCTTTCTTTTACAAACCTTAAGCTGATTTTTTACTGTATTTGGATTTATGTAATGAAATTATCGATTTATTAATTATTAGTCTGTCTGCTGGAATGAGATACTATTTCAAACACTCTTCTTGCTTGTGCCTTGTTTGTATTGGTTTAGTATTTCTCTCAAAGCAAGTGAATATCAGGATGTATCTTAACTTTTGAAGGCGTTTCTTCCCTTGTCAAATTGCTACTTCTTTCAGTGAAATGGTTGATTCGGATATCAGCTCAGTTTAGGAGAAGAAGGAGCAATTGGAATTGCTCATTAAATTTCATAATGTTTCTAAATCTCCATGTTCTCAACAGTTTGCAATTTGGTTCTCCATCTTAACAATAGATCGCAAATTGGTTCTCTGTAGACCTTAGATTTGTCTTGTGAATATATACTCTGGATTTTTCTTCACTTACGAGCTAACAAAACAGGATGTTATACACATTTATCTTAGCAATTCATGTGTTGGATGGAAAGTCCACTAATTCATCAAAATTCGCTTTACCATCTTAATTATGGAGAACTCCCCCCATTTTCTTAATTGCATCCCTAGGAGTCACATAACATAATGGAGATTTGATCATTCTACATTGTCGCTTGAAACTTGACATTCTTTGTATGCTATCAACTGCATGTCATGTTTTGATTTGCTTTTTGCAGTCCTACCAAATGTTATCACCAAACATATTTTGGAATATATGTAGGCCTTCAACTTTGCATTTAAAGGTTACTTCAAAAGCATTTTTGGCTGCTCAAAAGAGAAAGATGGATACTTAAAGTACTTTGCAGGAAATGTGGCTTCAGGAAGTGCTGCTGGAGCAACTACTTCATTATTTCTGTATCACCTGGACTATGCACGAACACGGCTAGGCACTGATGCAAGGGGGTCTGCAGTTAATGGTCAGCGCCAGTTCAGAGGGATTCTAGATGTTTATAGTAAAACCTTGTCAAGTGATGGAATAGCGGGTCTCTATCGAGGTTTTGGGGTTTCAATTATTGGGATTACACTGTATCGAGGCATGTACTTTGGGATTTATGACACCATGAAGCCTATTGTTTTGGTTGGGTCTTTGGAGGTAAGCATCTCCAGTTCTGAAAAAAAAAATATGTTCAGTATTATCTGTACAATTCAAAGGGGAGTGTATTTTCGTATGTATGACCGAAGCATTCATTCTTGATTAGTACATTGATAACATCTGCATGGCTATGTAGGAGACATACTATAGTGCCCCCCTCCTCTAGCATCTCCATGAAAATCCTTAAATGATACAAAGCCTCAAAGTTGAAATCATTTGAATTTCTACAGGGGAATTTTTTGGCTAGTTTCTTGCTTGGTTGGAGTGTTACAACAGTCTCTGGGGTCTGTGCCTATCCATTTGATACCCTTCGGCGCAGAATGATGCTTACATCGGGACAACCATCGAAGTATCGCAACGCCATACATGCATTTCGTGAGATTGTTTACCTTGAGGGTTTCACAGCGCTGTTCCGAGGAGTTACTGCAAATATGCTTCTAGGGGTTGCTGGGGCTGGGGTACTTGCAGGATATGATCAGCTGCACCGAATTGCATATAGACATGGTTATTCTATTGAGCCACATCAAAGAGTTTTGAAGTGAAAGTCCGGACTTGGCACACTGGTCGACATGGTTATTCTTTTTAGCAGCTTCATAGAGTTTTGAAGTGAGAGGCCAGACATGGCACATGGACATGGTTATTCTTTTGAGTCATGAAAAAGAGATCTGAAGTAAATGTCAAGATATGAGATTTGTATACTAGTGTTACCTCTTCAGTTGATTCATATAAAGATTTTATTCAGAATTTAAGAAGAAAGAGGTGAAGAGGAAAATGGCACGACAAGGTAAGGAAGGCTGCCGATTGATGTTTCCTGGAATGCCTAAAGAAAATCAAAGGCTTCCCTCTGTTCAGTTGAATAAATTTATTTTCAATTATTTGCATCGGCAGTGATAAGATTGCAGATTTAGTGTATAGGTACCACATTCACGCACATAGTACTGATGAAGATAGGATACAGAGAAGCTGTTTGTGCCTTCCACTTTATGTTTAGCCTCAACTCTCAAAGGATGTTTTTTTTCTTTATTTCATTCAAAAAGGCACAACCAGGAAACGAATGTTCCAATTTGTATCCAAAATGTATAAAGATTATGATTTCCCTCCGTCTTTGTCTTCACTATTCGTTGGTGTCAACCAGAAAGGAAGGGGACAAGGGCGGTCTTGCTTGGCGCGAAGGCTGCTGGTTCGGGGGTAGGGTAGTATTCGTTGACTCCACACCTATAATGCAAAGTCAATTACATTCCTCACACTTCTTGTCATTAATCTAATTTAAGATACCTTATCTTACATTCTTTATAAGATCCTTCAAATCTTCAACCTTGGCTTGCTTAAATTATACCCTAATTTTCTATTACAAATTAGTGTCAACGCAATGTACCATGGTAGCCTCTAAGTTTTGCCAAAGATGAGACTTCTCAGAAGCTGCAGAAAAGACCAATTTAATCATGCACTCCATGAAGTTTAAAGTCAAAAGCTTTTCTTGACTTCCAGTTTTTACAGGCATTGCAGTCACCACAACCATGTCTTGTATGGGCAGAGAAGTGCCTTTTTAACTTGTCCGCACAACCCCATCACACCACAATACCAAAAACGCAGATTCTACATTGCTTAACTTATCTAACAGAACGAGCCCAATAAAATAAAGTGTATTTTTTTTCAAATCAAGCTAGAAGCCAGAAATTCTTGTGAAGCTTAGTGGTGATCAAGTAGCCTCCAAGTTTCTTGCTCTTCCTCCTCACGGCAATCGACATGCATGCAGCATTTTGGATGCAGTATTCGACAGTTACCTCGCCGGAGGATCTGCTCCTTGTCCACCTCTTGATGAGCTGCCACCACATTGATCTCTTTCTTTTTTGGCCAAGAACGAGTAGGGACGCCCTTTGTCTCTTTGCTTCTTCCACTACTACCTCTACTTCCACCTATATATTCAAATTCAATAGTCATTGGTCAATACAAAAGGCATAGTTCAAAGATAATGGAACCCTTTCACATTTGCTTCATAATGCACAGTTGACATCTCAATGCACAGTAACAAAATTATTGCTACAAGTTGCTTAACAAAAAGATTGATCCCCTGCAGTAAAGTTGATGCAGACTCATTTCTTTCTAGTTTTTCTCTGATCCAGAACAAAATTTATGGAAAAGAAGCAATTTGATACACTTACCCCAGGCCTTCTCCTTTGACACACATTTTTCATAGAGTGAAGAAGTTCGAAAGCCCTCAAATTGATCTTCCCATCTGACTCTGCACCTGCAAACCAATAGTAGCACTTTACCATATTAGGCTCATATATATTAATATTACTGCAAGCAACAAGATAATTATAATTTATAAATGACCAAGAAGAAAGAATTAATGTCAGTTTCTGACCTTGTTTGGAGGGCTTAGCTACATGAACAAGTACAATGGTGTCCTGGGTTTGTACTGTGTGTGACAGGGCCCATTCAAGAGCACCCTTAGCTTCAAGGCTTGGATCCACCACAACCATTATCTTATTCCCAACTTCAGACGACCCTCTTTTCAAACTGTCAGCACTGAAATCATCCTTGCTGCTGCTAATATTGTTCAAGAATTCTGTGCTGTTATGATCAGTTTTGATCGAACCAGAACATCGTCTGGAGGTGTGTTTTGATCGAAGAGACAGAGAATGGATCGGAACACAAATAGTGGGACGGCCACCACACAATCTTGCATATTTTCTACTCATTTTGTTGACAATATTGGTTTTGGTGGCAAAACTGGCTGGCTGTACATACATATATATATACAAAGAATAAGGCGGCCACCAGACTAACTTGGAGGAGCCATTTGTTTTTCTAAAGGGCATTGATTCCCTATTTTGTTTATTTGCTTTGTTTTTCAATGTGGTAGGCCACTTCTTGAACGTGCTTCCCATGATAATTTGTAATTTGTAGTTCCCACACATGATAAATGTAACTGAGGTTGTTTGACTAATTTCCCAAAGAGAGAGAAGAGAGAGGAGAGAGCTATAGCTAGTGACAACTTATAGAAGAAATAATTGTTGCCGGCCACTCGTGCCAAATTTAGTGACAAGCAAGCATCCGTGTGGTGTGGGGATGATTCATTAATAAATCAGCAAATACTAATTACTAGCTAATTAACAGAAGAGAAACCACAAATCATTATGAATTAGGATGCAAAAGTCAACTTCATCGTTAGCTAATCAAGTGCAAGGCAGACGAGGTAGCTATCTGCATTATTGTATCTCTATTAATTTGTTTGTATTAGGAATGGTTTTCTCAACTTCCTCTGATATCATTCACACTAGATTTTATTAGTTTGGCAAGTTTCCACCTGGATGTGAAATCATTCGCGCTACATACATTGAATTATATATGGTAATTAAGGAAGTCTATTCTTCAGCAACGTGTATATTGGCTGGAAACCGAGTGAAGAAAAATAGACACACAAGGAATAATCGTGAAAAAAAGAAGAAAAAATATTTAGGATGTATCTGTGTTGTGTAGTAAGTAAGATTTGCTAATTACGTTTGGGTTTAATTTTATGTAGTAGTATTAAACTTGTAGACTGGCATGTTTTCAAGTTTCAACAATTCTACGCTAAATATTGATTTGATGGGTACCGTCCATTTCTGTGCGCGTGATAAATTGATATTATCGCTATGCCTAATCTACAGTCACAAAAATCACAGGGGCATACAGCATTTCTGGCACTAAAGAACAACATTGCTAAAAGAAAACACAACCCATATATATTTAAAAAGAAAAAAGAAAAGCCATGGCGATTATATCAATTTATCATGGATGCTATGACTCGAACCTAAAGCAATTGCTCCAAATCACCACAAGCATACTGGTCTAATTCCCAAGTTAATTTGAAAATATAGTCCATCGTCCACCTTCAATGCAAATTATAGTATACTAAATAAATACAAGAGGTGGTAGTAGTTAATTTAAGCTAGCCCGCCCCCAACATATACCACAAATTTTGAGCTATCTAGAGGCTCTTCCTTCCATCATAGTCCACATTATAAATTAATTTCTACGTAGGTATACATGCATACATACATATATAATACATGTATATAGACATTAATTATATATATAAATTATGTGTACTTGGTCATAAACTTGTAATAGTTTGGATATCATGAATTCTTCTATTCATTAAGGTGGCGGAGCATCCATGGGGGCAGGAGAGTATTAGGTCGATTTGCTGTTGGGGTCTCATTTTCATCCTCATGATCTCCACCGAATCCATCACTTCTAATTCCCTGGTAATTTGAACCGCTGCTGCAAATATCAAATATTGCACATGTTAATGATTAAAAAAACTTGACCTACCTTGTAATCAATCAGCCTTGATATTCAATTAATATTCTTAATTCACTCTTTTAGAGAGAGAGAGAGAGAGAGAGAGAGAGAGAGAGAGAGAGAGTGAGTGAGTGAGTGAGTGAGTGAGTGAGGCTAACCCGAAATTCAAGGACTGCAATGCCTCTGGTAGAAGGGTGGAGGAGCAGTCCAAGCCCTGGTTCTGCACTTGCTGCTCCCATGACTGTGCCTGGGGAGCTAGTGCTTTCTCCTTCTCCTTTACCTGGTTAATTATGGCTTAATACACAATTCAAGCTAGCCATGCATGATGAGAAATGAAAATTACGAAATTAATAACAAATTTCTAAACATATATAATTACATTGTCATACCTTCTTTGCCAGCAAGTTGTTTTGCTCCTGCAATGCCTTATCCTGTCATGATCAAATTAACACAGGCAATATTCCACAGTTAATACTGGAACAAAAACATGCGTCTAATTTCGCGCATAGAATATGTCCTCTCAGGCTTACCTTCTTTTGCAGCTCGGAAATCGATTCGTACATAACCTGGTTCTGTATGTGATGAAAGAATCATAGTCAAATTCGTTACCCTTTTTCTTTCTTCAAAAGAGAAAATGAGAGAAAAGAGAAAACAAGTCCAATGTACTGTACCGAAACCTTTTCGTTTGTATTTTTACCTTTCTTGACCTTATGTGCTTCAGTGCAGAATCAAGCTGTTGCTCCAAATTCTGAAGCTCTTTCAGACTTAAAGATTGGAGATCTTCTCCCATAAAATGACTGCAAATGAATGAAAACTAGCTAGTATAAAATTACTACTGCTTATTAATTAGAAAGCAATTAAAGATGTATGGGGTGTTTGGTGCCTGTGATTTCTTTGTAAAACCTCCACCCTAGCCTTGAGCTTTGCATGTTCCAGAGTCCAGCTTCCCTAATATATATAAACGTATGGCATCAAATGAAGTATTTATTAAAAGAAAATAACCCAAGAAAAGTGATCCTAGTTCGTCAATTCCCGATTCGTCCATGGGGGAATGACGCAAATTGCAATGGATGCCAAATTCATGGTGATTATATTTTTGGCTTTGAAACCAAAGGGAAAGCCAGAAGGGCATACGTACAGTTGATTCATTATCATTTGCAAGAAGCTGCTTCTCTGAATATGAGTACCTTTCGTACCTTTCCAGGATCCTTTCCATGCTGTTATAATTAACAAATTCATTCAGAAATAATCTACCAGTAACTACTCCTACATAGTTCCTATAAACCAAACTTCATTCAAGATGGTAGATTTATATATATCATCATACAAAAAGATGAGTCAAATAACAGTCAGGAGACAGTACGCTAAAATCATTCATTTGAGGTGTACCGTACATATATAAATATATATATAGCACAAAACCCTTGTGTTGTGAGAGTGAATTAAAATCTGAGCTCACATATCCTACAATGGAATTGATAGAGATATGTACTAAAAAGAGATATGAATTTGAGCCTACATAAAGTTTGTAAGACACACACAGACGACAGACCCCCCTATATATAGATATTTTTTCTGATAGACCCCTATATATAAATTATATATTAATAACTTAAAAAGAAGATAGGGAAATTAGGGATGTTCCAGCTGCAGTACGTTTCACAAAGCGGAAGTCCGCCTTCTTGGCAAGGCAACTTAGAATTCCTAAGTAAGAATTAAGGATGCAAATTAGTTGGGGTTTAACGTGTTGCGATGAACAATTTTTCTTTCCGTTTTTGTTTTACATGGATGAACAGGTTGACCGTCCCATATTTACTCTCTCTCTCTCTCTCTCTCTCTCTCTCTCCCCCTCAGCCAACACCTGGTATTTGCATGAAATCAAATTAAATATAGAGGAAGAAAATCCCCAGAAAAGATACTCACTCATGAAAAACGTATTCTCAAAAGCCCATGGATCTAATAATGAGTCGAAACAAAAAAACTAGTGCATGAACAAATGAAACGTACTGGTAGAATTGGGTAATAAATTTAGATGAAGAAAAAGAAAGAAATACCCTAAAAAAGACAAAGACACAAAAATAAATAATAGATACTTATTAAATGAATAATATATATATATATAGGAGGAAGGACGTGGAGGTATATATTACCAGGAGTCAGTGGAGTACTCAAAGAGCTTGCCTTTGGTGGAGAAGACAATCAAAGCAACCTCAGCATCACAAAGCACAGAAATCTCTTGGGCTTTCTTCAGCAACCCAGACCTTCTCTTTGAGAAGGTTACCTGCCTGTTGATCTTGTTTTCAATCCTCTTCAGCTGCACCCTTCCCCTCCCCATAATATATACTACTAGTATTAATATATCTTTTTAATTTTATGATATTAAACAAATAATAATATTATCCGATAAGCCTAGCCCTTGTGATGAACAGATGATGATCTCTTTGCTTGCAGAAACCAAAAGCCCACCCAGAAAATGGGAGAGAAACAAAGAAAGAAAGAAAGAAAGAAGGAAAGGGATGAGCTATATGCTTCTTCTCTCTCTTTCTTCTAATAGATAGGCGTCGTCTGCTCTCTCTCTCTCTCTCTGACTGCCGTTGTTTCTATATTTATATGATATAGTAGATATATAAATATATTAATTACAAAACCGCTAAAACAAGAGATGGGCAGGATTGGAAAACCAGAGTGGTTTGGTCAGGATGGTTGTCGACTTGGGATTGGCCAGAACCCAAATATTTCCAAATCCCACATAATAAACATTACTCAAAATGAAAAGTGATGTGTACGGACGGCTTTCAAGGGGGATCTTTCTCTGTTTCTATTTTTACTTTGCCTTTTGGGTTCACTCTCAGAATTATTACTAATCTTATGCATCTCTCTCACAACTTACTTTTTACTGCTTAATGTGTCTCTATGTGCCACTTGTCACACTCACTCTACCTATTTTATGACAACAAATTTAATATATTCCAATAAAATAACATAAATATATGTTGAATTGGGTTGGATTCGATCCCTCTCACTCAGTTTATCTTTAATTACCACCTCATTATTAATTTCCCGCAATTAACTTTTAATGATATAACAACCCTAAAGTTATTTCATTCGACGGACATGTTGCAAAGAGTTTGTAGCTCAAAAAATTGGATTAAGTAAACATTACTTTAATCTTCACTTAGAATATGTTATCTTGCTTTTCTCCACACCAAATTAAAATTTAAAAATTGCTTATCATGCCAGTCCCAACAAAGTAAGTACCACAACGTCATCATGATGATGATTTTTTATCGTTTATTATCACCCCCATAGCTTAGTTGTCGTAATATGATTGGCTCCTATATATGTTTTAATCTTTATATTAGCAGACATTGTACGTTGATTTGAGTCAATTCTCTTATCTCTTATCATCTATTCTATGCTTTTCTGTACTTATTTTCTTTGGAAGCATTTTTCTCATCACTTTAACTCAAAATATATGTTTATTACACTTCTTAACACTTCACACGTGTTTATAAGTATAATTATGATTAAGTAAATCAAAAGTAAAAAGTTAAGATTCAAATGAAAAATTCATTCATCTGTAGACAAGGCAAGATAAGGCACTTTTCCTTTTGAAACCTTTTCTTTTCCCCGTCTTGTCAAGATTCAAATGAAAAATTCATTCGTATGTAGGCAAGGCAAGGCAAGGCACTTTTCCTTTTGAGCAGGGGCGAAGCCATTAAGAGACCAGTGGTCCCACAGGCTCTTTCATCTTGTACCTATTCTAGTTATGTATTATATATAATATATGATATTCTGATATATTATATTAGTTTTAGGATATTTACCCTATAATAAATAAATAATATATATTAGGTCTTTTTTGTTTACAAATTAACCATTAAACTTTTTAATCTCTCTTCTACTTCTCTCCCTTAAATCTTCTAGGTTAGTTTATGATATGTACACTAAAATATTCATACAAATTTAACCTCTTTTTCTTTTTCTTTTTTTTCTGTTTCTCTCTTTTTAACTTAAGCTATATGAATTTTTTTATTTCCCTTGCTTTTCTCATGTCTAAGTTGGGTATCATAATATTGGGATTTATGAACCTTTTTTGTATTTATTCTCTATGTTGGAATATAAATTATTAACTTTTGAGTGTATAATGATGTAGATGATGAGATTAATTAATCAATGTAAAATGAGAGTGGGACAAAACGAGCAGTTAATGTCGTATTAACTTATTAACCAGGCTTGAACGGTCCTATTCAAATTATGTGGAGGACCCCCTCTAATATGAAATCTTGGCTCCTCTCCCATTTATGTTTAATTCAAAGCACGATTATTATATATGAAATGAAATATAATACATTTGTTTCGTGCAAAATAATCTCTCAATGAATTTCTATATTTAATAAATGACCGTATTTGGTGGAACAAGGCCAAGTTAGTCAATGATAATGTTTCTCGAATGCGATTAAAGTATGCCACTTTTACAACCCATCAGTTGACTAGTTGACTGGAAGAAACAACAACTGCGAAATATCTATCCAAAGATGCATATGTCCACGTACGGTCATAATAAGTTTCTGGATTAAAACTCACCATGCGTGACATTCATTTAACTAACATTTTGAAAGTGAGAGATTCTCTTGCCCGTCAAACCAAAACGAAAAAGTGAGGAGAGCTGAGAGAGATTTGCTTGGCATCAATTTTGACTTTTTCATCACCAATGTTACTAGTACTACTTCTTACATATAATTAAGATGACAGGCAACTAATAGCTCGCTGTTATCTGTTTTCCACAAGTTAAAAGTACTATATGAAACCTAACGAGATCTATAATCGTTCGCGCGCTTAAAAAACAACCGTACTTAACATTTTAGCCCGTCTAAACAACACAAAACTTAATTACTCAAACTTCATTAGCGATCGAGAAACTAAAATTCAAAGTATATAATATATGCAACAAATTAAAAGGTGTTTTTTTTTGGGGAGATATATTTGACGTCCCCGAAAGGGGAATTAATGCCTAGAGTATTGATTGTTGGGTTTCAGTCCTGTTTTTACATTGTAAAACACAGACAGAGAAACGCGCATGCACACAAAGAGGTTACCATTTTGGTGAACCATTTCTGCCATTGGCATGCAATAACAGACAACAGTTACACATACGAACATGTCAACATGGCCAATATATAGTACGCACGTACTCGAACAAAAACAAAATATGATTTGAATGATGAGTCGGAAGGAAGGGAAAGTGGTGTTTTTGTAACATGTAGTGTGTGTTTTGTGTGCGTTTGATTGCTAAATTGGTCCCTTTCCCCGGTGGCCCTCTCCTCTCTGCCAACGGTATGAATTAAAAATAGATTAATTTTCACGTGGGCCGTGGCCCAACCCATAGTTGCGTAGGAAGAGTTAGGTATCTTTTCTTATCTTTTCCATGCTTTGTCGCTCTTGATTGGCCGAATCCGGTAAGAAGAAGACTTCCACTGAAAAGGACATAAAATAAATCATAAAAGCAGTCCAACTCCAAACGTCCTTCACTTCACAGCAGCATCTGCTGTTGCTCTACCTGTTCCTGTTTCATTCAATGATTAATCGCTCTACAAACCCTAATCTTTCCAAATTACCCGGAAGAAAACAAAAACACAGATAACTTTGCAAATTATAACGTCTTCATCCTTTTCCTTAACAAGTAATATCAGTGTAACTAACTCTCGATTGAGTACACGAAATCCCTTGTTTAACTTCTTCGAATAAGAAAGTCCGCCAAGGAAAATAATTATTAGGGTAAGAAAGTTGAGAGAGAGGGGGTGGTTGAGATTAATGTCCATTTTTGTTTTCATAGGAAGAAGGTGAATCACCTTTGGCAAATTGTCTTCTAACTTGTAAGTACGACGATGGACAAGTAAGCTTTTGTCTCCTAACTAAGCACGGTTGTCTGCTCGCATGCACACGAGTTTTTGATGGACCTATGAATCATGGAAGGCCCAGTAGTTCAATTGGGCAAGTTTTCCCACAGGCTCGAGGCCCAAAACTTGTTCAAACTGGTATATTGAGTGATTAGGATACAAATTCACGCAAATACATATCCCACAATTCATATATATATATATATATATACACTTAGTTAGAGAGCTTCCATTGAGGGATCCCTCAAATAAGCTTATTTGAGGGACACCCCTTATAGGCCCCACTCTGAATTGTATTTCAATAATCCAAACCGTCTATTTTGTAGATACTCATTCAAAGATCATCTCTATAAAAAATCACTTGAATCCGATATCATTTGACCACTCAATTGAGTTATTGAAATTTTAGTACTTTCTTTAAGCACCATATTCATTGATTTTGTAAGACACAATTGGATTGTCATGAATACAACTTACAAACATACATAAAAATATATATTTATTCTTATTGGTACAAAGACTAATTACATGTTTGCATGGCATACAAGGAAGATCACAATTATCCAAAAAAGAAAAGCTCCATCCAACATGAGATGATAGTCCGCTACATGTATTTTATTCGCCACATCTTGTCATCTTGATCATGAGAAATCAAAGTCAAAGCATCCACCCAGGAATGAATCCATTCACATGTTGGCCATGATTTCCAACATTCATTTGTTCATGATGATCGGAACCCAAAGGGGTGTATCTGCATTGTAAGAAGACGAAAACGAATTACAAAGGACGTGTTAATTAATGGAAATTAAGGCTCCGTTTGGATGCAGGGATTTGAATGAAAAGGATTTGAGATGATGTGTACCCAATTTGGGAAGTGGAGTTGTTTCCCAATGGATGGAAGAAGCCTTGTGAGTGAGGATGATGAGGAAGGCGAGTATGCTGATCATTGTTGTTGCCATGGCCAGCAGCTTCCCATGCCAATGGAGGTGGAGCTTGCCCACTAGTTTCTTCCAGCTGTGTTCAGTTAATATTAATGATCACTTGGTTTACACTTGTAAACAGAAACAACTAGATCAATTAATGAGGCAAGAAATTATGGGGCATATGGTTTCATTTGTTTTACCTTCCTCCTCAAGGCTTTGTTAGCTTCAACTAGCATTTGTTCCTGCTCAAGAATAAAAGCAAGGCCAGGCATTGTTATTATTACGTGTTCAAAGGCAAATGAAAGTGTGCAAGTGTATGTATCAACATTGATGCGCAAATGAGATTCATGACTTACCTTGTTCTGGAGATCACAAAGCTGATCAAGCATAAACTGAGTCTGAATAAAATGTGGGAAAAAACAAATTAGCATAACACAACAACATAACAAGTGCGCCATTAAAAGAACACAAAAGGGCCAAGCAATCAGGAGTTTTGTTGTTGGCATTAACTCAGGCGACATATATTGCTTTATGAAAGATAAAGGGTTTCATGTATAAGCTTCCGTAAACGATCAAATTGACCAAAATTCTATCAGTTAATCACCTTTGTTGATCTAATTTGGTTCAAGGATGCCTCCAGTTGATGCTCAAGCTGCTCAAGCTCCTTTGTGTTCAGTGGGGCCAAATCTTCCCCAAGAAGGTTTCTGCAGCATTCAGGAACATCTACTCTTAATTAGAATATATGTATATATTTATGGTTTACCATCTTTCT